GTGTGCTTATAGCCAGAAAAAATAAGTGTTAGAATTACAAGGGTTTTGTATTGATGGTTTAAACCGTGTAAAAAAAATATTTGGTACTTGATTATTGAAGATTTCACCTTTTTTTTTACTACAAATTCTTAAATAAACCTGATCGGACCAAATTTATCACGTGATTACTTCCTCCTTACTACCAGTTTCTTACAAACAAATTAATACAACCATTTATTTCCTTTTCTTTCTCTCGTCAAAAGCGCACCTCACCCTTTCTCTCTCTTCTAAGAACTTTCTCTCTCTTCCAAGCTTCATTTCTTCCATTTTCATTTCTGGCTTTGGGAGCTATTGTTAAGTGATGAATTGTCACTTGCCTCCTCACCAAATTGTCTCTTGAGTACCATCACTACAACCAGATTAACTAGAGAAAAATCAATAGCAGGGTACTAATCAAAATCTGCTAATAGTTGCATGTTTTATAGAGTACGAGGCAATAATCAACCCCTATGAAAGCCCGTAGAAGCTTCACTCAAATACAAAAGTTTCATGTATACTAAAAGTAGAGCAAAATTATTATCATTTATATAAAACTAATATATATGCCTCTGTAAAGTCTTTACTAAAGATACACATGCTTGATACTACAATAAAGAAAACGGGAAGCCCAAGATCGACAATCCATCATGGAAATTTTAGCTTACATTGTTCTCATTCATAGGCATAATAATTTCATGACTGAATTATAAGCCAATTATGCATATAGGTGATGAATTCTTCATATAAAATCTTGTGATGTAGCAACTCTTTTTAATCAAAGTGTTTATTTACTCCTTAGTTATAATAGAGCAACTATGATTCCAAAAAGAATTACTATGTATATGAATAAGGTTGTTTAGTTTATTTAAGGGTCACGATGCATATTAGATGACCATTATGCAAATAATAAGGTGAGGTCTATATGCTCCCTTTGTTTTAAGAACTTGAACTTCTATAGGGTTTAGGTTTGAAAATTGTCAAGCAGAGTTATCTAGTTAATACTTTCAATTTAAAGAATATGGTCATTCACCCTAAACAGTTTGACAATAATTAATGTTGTCTATGACTAAGATACTTTGTTTTAAGGGTGTCACAGACTCATGGTCATTCTTATGTTATTGTCGACAAGATGTTCTTTTATTTCAATATTTTGTTAAGCTACCAAGGGACAGATTGAAGGGTTGTCCATGTATATATAAATATAGGCTATTAGCTCAAAGGGTAGAGTAATGTACAATAATGTACATGGTGTGGGTTCAAGTCCCACATAGCCTATGCTACAACAATACTTGTGTGTTGCTATCATTTGTGAGTTGTGTTTTGGTCATTGTATGTAGTAGCTTGTTAGCATCAAAGTGCATAAATAACTATTTAACTTGCATTGTTATCCTATATTGTAGTATAATGAAGATAACATATGATGATAAGATACTCAAATTCTATTAATAAAGCTGACTTTTCACATAATACAACCAATAGCCTATGTAGGATTTGAACCTACATCTACTGTGAAATTACACAGTGCTCGACCATTTGAGCTATTAGGCATAACAACACATTAGTTATAATAAAAAGGGTAGCACCAAACATTTAAGCATTGACAATCCATTCTATCAATTGTTATCTCCACGCTGAGCCAATATATGCTTTGAAGAGTCTGAACAAAGGGAATAGATGAAGATTGAAACTTTGAAAGTAGTCTAAGAGCATAATATTATCATAAATATTGAATTATATGCTAAAAAGGTATTTATATGACAAAAAAAAGGTCACTATGTATTAAAAAGGGTAACTCTGATATGGTAATTTAATGCAGCTAAGGGTGATTATGCTTTTTAAAACGGTAAGTATAACAAATAAAAGAGTTACTATATTTTAAGAAGGGTGACTTTATGAGATGAAAGGGTCACTATATAGTGTTACACAAAGACAATTATATCATTAATAGGGCTACTATTCCAAATATAAAGGTTACTATATCAAAATAAAGGACTATATGTTAATTAATGGTGAAAAACTGACAATATAGGGCTACTCAAATAAACATTACTATTTAGAAATAAAGATCACTATATTATAAAAAAAGGTTACTATTCCAAAATTTATATATCTCAAAATTAAAGTTACTATGTGATAAATTAGAGAGCAATAGAAAATAATTAGAGTAGAATTGCTTGCCTTCTCATTAATCCTCCATGGGAATATATAGAGTTACAAAGATATCTTAGGAAATTAACTAAAATATAGAAGATAAGTATATGGAAATATTCTACCAAATCTTCCTAATTATACGATAATATCTCAATACCCCCCCTCAAGTTGGAGCATGGGGATCAAAAGTGCCCAACTTGGACAAAAGATTATCAAATTGTGTTTTCCCAAGAGCCTTTGTAAAAATATCAGCAAGCTGTGAAGAAGTCGAAACATGAGATGTAGACAACCATCCGTCAGTAATAGCATCACGAACAAAGTGACAATCAATCTCAATGTGCTTTGTTCGTTCATGAAAAACAGGATTCTTTGCGATATGCAGAGCTGCTTCATTATCACAAAATAATTTAATTGCCTTTGGATGTTGTACTCCAAGACTGAACAGTAAGCCCTTCACCCATTTTAGCTCTTTAGAACATGAAGACATGGACCTATACTCGGCCTCAGAAGAAGAGAAAGAAACAGTTGGTTGCTTTTTAGTTTTCCATGAAATTGGAGATTTTCCAAGAAAAACAAGCCAACCAGAGAGAGATCGTCGAGTCAGAGGGCAAGTAGCCCAATCTGAATCACACCAACCCTGCAGATTTAAGTCACAATCAGAGCTCAATAAAATACCTTGTCCGGGAGTCCCTTTCAGATATCGAACCACCCTCATAGCTGCATCCCAGTGTTCACTACGAGGTTGCTGCATAAACTGAGACAGAATATGAACCAAATACGCCAAGTCAGGGCGTGTAACAGTAAGATAGATCAGACGACCAACAAGACGTCTGTAAGATTCTGGATCAGTGAGAAAAGCACCTGTGGCTAATCCCAATCTGTGGTTTTGCTCCATTGGAAAACCATTAGGCTTTGCTCCTAATAAACCTGTCTCAGAAATAATATCCAGAGTATATTTGCGCTGACATAAAAATAAACCTGCAGAGCTACGTGCCACTTCAATGCCCAAAAAATATTTCAAAGGACCAAGATCCTTCATCTTAAAACAATCACTCAAATAAGCCTTAAAAACAGTCAATGCAGCGGAATCATTCCCAGAAATAATCAAATCATCGACATACACTAAAACTGTAATCTGAGTATCTCGAGTAGTATGAGTGAATAAAGAATAATCAGAGTAAGATTGTTTGAAACCATACTGTTTTAAGGCTGTGGTAAGTTTGGCAAACCAACATCTAGGAGCTTGCTTCAAACCATAGAGTGACTTTCGCAATCTGCAAACCAAAGTAGGATCCGAATTCTGAAAACCGGGAGGGAGCTTCATGTAGACTTCTTCATCCAAATCACCATGAAGAAAAGCATTGTGAACATCCATTTGATGAATTTCCCAATTCTTTGCGGCTGCAATGGCAAGTACAGTGCGAACCGTTGTCATTTTAGCTACCGGAGCAAAAGTTTCATCATAATCTACACCTGCTTTCTGATGATTCCCAAAAACCACCAAACGAGATTTGAGGCGTTCCACCTCTCCATTAGAAAGAAACTTGGTCTTATAGACCCATTGACTGCCTAGAGCCTTTTTACCCGGGGGAAGAGGCTCCAAAGTCCACGTACCATTATTCTCCAAGGCCCGAATTTCTTCATTCATAGACTTACGCCATCCTTCAGATTGCATAGCTTCTTTGAAACTTGTTGGATCCTTGGTATGAGCAACAGCTGAAATAAACTTCCGATAACTCATAGAAAAATTGTCACAATGTATATAATGTGCTAAAGGATACGGAGTACCTGAAGACTGATTGGAGGACGGAGACGGACTTTTGGCAAAAACAGAGTGAGTAACATAATCACGGAGCAAAACAGACGGGATTTTATCCCGAAATCCGCGGCCCATAGCAGGCTCCTGTACGGACGGTGTGGTGCTAGTGGGGTCAGTGGGCTGCTGCAGAGTGTCGGCGCTGCTGTTATGCGGCAGAGACTACCCTCCCCCATCATCCGCAGCCTGTCCAGAAGAAGTGGCAGTGCTAGAGTGCTGTGAAGGCGAGGACAGCCCATCACCCGCAGCATTTCCAGCGGGTACAACAGTGCTGAAATGCTGCTGGTGGTGCGGGGTGCCTGCGGCAGTTGGCTGGGGTTCTTCAAGGGCCCCCCTGTCATGGGTACCTCCCCATTATTATACCCAAAAACATCACAAGCATTACTTGTATCAAAATCCGCAAAATCAAAGTGTATAGCATCCGAAACTTCATGCAATCCCAAGTCAATATTCACATCATTCGGACAAGCAAAAGGAAAAATATTTTCCACAAATTTAACATCTCGAGACACCAAAAATTCTTTTGTTTCAAGATCATACAACCTCCACCCCTTCTTCCCAAAAGGATAACCCAAAAAAACACACTTGCGAGTCCGACTAGCAAACTTATCGCCCTTAGTCTTTTGATTATGGGCAAAACACAAACAACCGAAGGTACGAATAGCATCAAAAGAAGGGGTTTTATTGAAAAGGATTTCGAATGGAGTTTTATTTTGGAGAAGAGGTGTTGGAGTTCGGTTTATTAAGTGTACAGCGGCCAAAACACATTCGCCCCAAAAATAAATAGGTAATTTAGCTTGGAATCTCAGGGCCCTCCCAACATTAAGAATATGTTTGTGTTTTCGTTCCACTCTTCCGTTTTGTTGAGGGGTTCCCACACAAGAGGTTTGAAAAATTATGCCAGTGGCAACAAAAAAATCATTCAAGCAATTAAATTCGGTCCCATTATCACTTTGAACAATTTTAATTGTTTGATTAAATTGCCTTTCCACCATAGCAACAATGGTCATAAACATCTGAAAAACTTCGGTTTTATCAATCAATAAATAAATCCAAACAGCCCTTGAATAATCATCAACAATAGTAAAAAAATAACGAGCCCCACACGACGACACATGTCTATATGGACCCCATAAATCACAATGTATTTTCTCAAAAATTCTAGAAGTCTTATTTTCACTCAAAGGAAAAGTATCTCTAGAGTGTTTAGCACGAAAACATACTTCACAACTGTTATTTAAACTACTCTTATTATTGCTAATATGCGGAAGTAACTTAACTACTTTCTCCGAAGGATGCCCCATTCTTCTATGCCAAAGCTCCAAATCTGACGTCGCCTCCACCACTGACACACGTTGCACCACATCCGTTTTGCCAAAGAAATAATACAGTCCGTCTCGCCTAATTCCCGTTCCAATCAGCTGCTTCAGTTGGTCCTGTATAGCACACATATAAGAATTAAATTGGACAACAACATTTAATTGATCACTGAGTTGAGTAACGGAAAGTAAATTGCAATTAAGATGAGGTACAAAAAGAACTCCAGAAATAGTAATTTGGTCGGATAATTTAACCGATCCTTCCAACGTAGCAAGCACACTTTCACCATTTGGTAAACCAACGGGACATTCAATATAACTAGTGTTAAACAACCAAGATTGATGTCCGGTAACATGATGAGTTGCTCCGGTATCAATAATCCAACAAGAATCATCAAACTTACCATGAAGACGATTTTCAGGAATATTAGTGTTACCAATAAAACCCGAAAGGGCCTTCCATTGCTCCGTTGTGAAAGCCGACCCTAGAGGAGTATTTTCACCCCCTGCTGTGGCAGCATTTGCTCTCGGCCCTCCTCTTCCTTGGCCAGCAGGTTTGTCACGTGGCCGAGAAATCCACCCCGGAGGATAACCTGTAACCTCATAGCAATAACGAGGGTCATTCCCCTTTTTGTTGCAGTGAGGACACGGCGATTTGAACCAACAACTTGACAAATCGTGCCCCGTCTTCTTACAGTGAGAACAGGAGCGATCAGAGACGCCACGCCCACTGCTAGGGCTGGCCTTAACTGCAAAACCAAGAGCGTCTGTGGGAGCAGACGCAACCTCCTGTCGAGCAGTACGGACACGCTCGTCCTGCACCACGAGCTGATATGCTCTGTCAAGGCTCGGAAATGGTTCCTGTGACAAAATATTAGTCCGAAAAGAAGAATAAAAATCAGAATACAAGCCCATTAAAAAATCATGCAAGCGAGATTGTTCTCTTCGTTGCTCATGAAGACTCCCTGCTGTACAGGAAGAGCAACACGAACAGGATATCAAGGGCTCGTGGTGATCCAGCTCCTGCCAAATTGCGTGTAATTTGCCATAATAGACCGAGACCGGCATCGACTTGGTTTGTTCGCACTTGGCTAGGGATGCTCGTAATTGCTGGATACAAGGCCCATTGGTTTGAGCGTAGCGCTTCTTGAGATGATCCCAAAAGGGTTTAATTTCTCTGAATTTTGAAATAGAGGATTTAACCTCTGGATTGATGGTGTTAGACACCCACGAAATCAACATTGCATTGAGAGCTGTCCAATCGGACTTAGTACATGGTGGTTTTGGCTCTGTAATCGATCCATCAAGGAACTCGAATTTTCTCCGAGCCTCCAGAGCCAGCCGCCCACTCGTCATAGTTGTCTCCCTTAAGCCGAGTGGGTGTAATGTAATCGCCAGGGCGATCTTGAGGGCCAAGATAATATGGGGAATTGGGTTCGATTTTAGTTGGAGGTGGTGGTGGCGGTGGTACATCATCACCGGCCATCGTTGATTAAAAAAAATGGCTTAAATTAAACCCGCTCTTGATACCATGATAAATTAGAGAGGAATAGAAAATAATTAGAGTAGAATTGCTTGCCTTCTCATTAATCCTCCATGGGAATATATAGAGTTACAAAGATATCTTAGGAAATTAACTAAAATATAGAAGATAAGTATATGGAAATATTCTACCAAATCTTCCTAATTATACGATAATATCTCAATACTATGTCAATCATAAAAGACACTATATCATAATAATTAGTATTTAAAAGATTTAAGCGTTTCATTTTCTTGATTTTTTATCTGTTGATCACAGGAAATCTTGATACAAGCAAAGGTGAACAAGAAAGCTTTAACAACAAAAAGTCGCCTTTGGTGTAGTAGAGCAAGCTACCAATTATATTTCACACGGCAACAAGCTTCGAGAAGGAGGCTTTAGGTCTCTGTTTATAAGGTATTAGAATACTATACTAATCTGCCTGCTTTATCACTTGTTTTTTTTTTTGAAAAGGAACTATACTATCACTAAAGGTAACTATATTACTTAAAACTTGATTTGCATGTCATCTCCAACTATAGTAACCCTATATAATTTTCAATTGACATAAATTACATACAATTGGTTACAAATAATACGAAATAATACCTAAATGCCTAATTTAATTTTCCGAACAAACAATTGCAATTGCATAATCGCTTAATTTGCACAATTTGATCAAAATCAAATACAAATAGATGATCAGATTTTTATAATTCTTACCTTCATAGTTGCTTACAATTTGAGCTTCATCGTTCAGATCGAAATTGATGACATTAATATCGAAGTTTTCTACAGTGTCCTACATATTTCGATTTAGATCAATTTCGATTGATTGTATAGAAGAATTTGTCATGAATTTTGCAGAAATTGATTGATGATGGAGAAATTATAAACCCTAGAATTGATTAGAGGGAGAGAGAAAAAAAATTCGAGCTCTGAGATGAAGTTGTTAATGGCGTTGATGATGAAGTAGCAGGAAAGAGATTTCAACGCTTTCTTTTGTTTGGGGTTTTACGGGATTAAGGGTTAGTGGGCTGGGAGTGTGTTTTGCTGCTTGGTGGGTTTGGCACGTGACATTTCTGGTCCACCCAAGAACTTTTATTTTTTGACATAATTATTCAATAAAGAAATACTTCATATTTGTTATTGCCTTAAAAAAATAATAGAATCATCTTATTAATAAAATAGTCAATACTTTCCCACAAAAAAATAATCAATATTATATATTAAAGTAATCACAAGGATTCTAGAAATATGCGTGTAACGTCCACAATTAAAAGTATCCCGTCAAAATTTATTTAATTTTTTTTGATACGTCTTATAAAATAATTTCACAATAGCAACTTTTTATAATTTTTATTCTTACACAATTAGAGATATTTAACATATAAATGTGCTTTAGAATGTGTAATATCATCCTTGTTGCAATATTACTCGAACGGAGGAAGTAATAAGATAATTGATTAAAAAAAGAGAGAGAGAATATACAGGCTAAATAATAGATCAACAACAACCACTCTAAATAGATAAAATATTTTTTCGAGGGGAAAATAAAATATTAAATGTATACATAATGTATAAACAGATTCTAATATTTGATCTTGAAATACGTGTAGACTACCTGGCCTTCGTTTCTTATTATTATTACAGCAAAGGTATTAGATGTGAGACATAAAAATAATTTTATCACAAATAATAATTAATAGAGGTATATTTGTTGTAATAGGAATAGAGTGTACTATTAAAAAGGTATATTTGATCAAATGGTGCATCAAACGAGACGAGACTAATCTAGTGCCCTAATATATACATGCTCATCTTGATACACTAAAGCTTATCTAATCTAAACTGACCATCTCAGTAAACCAATGTCACCGAATCTAATCGCTTGGGAGATACTTTTCTTATCTGATGATTAATCTTTCCACTTTATATTATTTGAATAACTAATTAACTAACTACAATCTCTATCCATTACACTTTAGGAATTGAGTTCACGCGTAGCATTGTTGGTCAAGTTCAATAAGTTAATGATTGAACTACTTTATTGTTTAATTTTGATCCGTTTCTTCATAGCAAAACTGATATTTTATTTCCTAAATTAAACTAATATAGTTATCTAATTCTAGTTCTATCCTTATAAATCCAATTCTATTAACTCTAAATTAATGTAATTAGGCCCAAAGTCCAATGAAACTTTAGCTACAAGTAATGTATTAACTCTTCTATAAATTAAATTACCCTCTGTCAATTTATTTCTCCAATTTCACCTACCTTCATTTTCTTTTTCATACACATTTGATTTCCTTTTCCTTTGGTTTTCCTATTCCTACATATTTGATTTTCCGATTCAAAATTCTTCGAACCACAATGAAGTCCATCATGAAATTGAAACTAGTAAAATTCACCATTGTTTATCCATCGTTGAATGAACCAGGAAAGACAATCCGAGCTTCAAAATTTGTAAACTTACCGGAATCTTTCTTTAATGATTCCAAACACATAACCAAACCCTTGAATAATTCTTCTACACAAAATCCAAAAACCCTAAAAACTCAAAAGAGTATTACCAAACCCTTAATTTCTAGTCACAAATCAAATTTACTTAAAAAACTTAAATCAAAATCCTTCAAAGAAGTGACCGCAAAGAGGAGTACATGGATGCCGCACTTGATTTCTAGTCACAAATCATTGCTGCTGCGTCGTAATGGGATCGTCACAAAGGCTGTCGGAGGTAAAGCTGTCGTCTCTAAGGCCGTTCCAACACTCCCTCCAAGTGTTCTTGAGAAGAGAAGATATAGTAGAGATTACTCTTTCTTAATTGAAGCGAACTGAAGAAAGTCATCAAGAATTCAGATGATATGTTGTTATTAATTTTAGTAGTTAGTTTTGGAATAAGGCTTACAAATGAACGAGATACATCCAAATTGAATCTTTATGTACTACTAGTTATACATTAAATAAAATCATTCTGTTTATTTTTGAGAGATTTTAAAATTAATGCCTTGTTTTCTTTACCATTCAATTATTTTGACAGGCCTTTAAAAAAAAAAAAAAAAAAAAAAAAAAAAAAAACCTACAATTATTTTGACAAAAGGGTTAATGTATATTGATTTTTAACTAATGATTATTAATTAATGTTTGCCTTGTTTCTGGAATAGTTTGTACTAATGCTGCTGCTGTACATATGAGTAAGAATTGTCACATATTAGTTAATAATTATGGAAGAAATTGAGGTCGAGGCTTTGCCAATTGCTTTGAAAACTCACAAACAGATCTATGAAAGTACAAAGTACTCTATATTATATTGATCGCGTTATTCCTTAAATACTGCTCTTATTACTAGATTTCATCTGTGTAAAAACACGATATATTTCTAAGAATACTATTGAAATATAACATACATGTAAAATTAGGCTTTACTCGAAATGAGAAAACTGATCCAATATAATAGAGACTGCCAACAAAATAAATTAGCATCTAGAACTTGAAAATATATAAACCCAAAAATTCAAATTTAAATGGGTCATCAAACCCCATTGAAACCTAGATTTACACGATTTATATAATGACCTAATAGACTAATAGTATAATTTGAATTTATAAAATACCACCTTACTCTAAAAAAATATTGTAACAATGTTAATGCTAAGATTCTTTGTTGGAAAATTATATTTTTGTATGTAGTTGAGATATTATTATAATTGCCTTGTTGGTATTATTTTTATTCCGTATAAAAAAAAAAAAAAAAAAAAAAAAAAAAAAAAAAAAAAAAAGATAATTGGCCATGTGCTTTAACGTATGTATTTATGCAACTTTTCAACCAAACTCTACTAGCTTAGTCCATTCTTTTATCAACTCTATTAGAGCCGGTTTGGTTTATTAGTTGTATTTATATTAATATTGTATTTATGTTAAATTTATCTTTTTAGGAGTTTTAGGCTAATTAGGTTTCCTAATGTATTGTGTATATATATGTGTTCAATATCGATACGAAAGCTAAGCCGTTTTCTCCAATATTTTCCAAAGTTTAACATGGTATCACAACCTCTCTAATTTCTAGAGATTTTTTTTTCGATCTTGGTTAGTTTGTTGATTCAATTAAATTCCGCAAATTTTACGAGAGATTAAGGCTTCAATTTTTGGTTTCGATTTAATTTTTTTTTTTACAAAGCACGAATTTTTTTAATTAGGGTTTAGGCGACCCTAATTCTGTTTTGTGGTTCGTATTGCTCAAGTGGTCAAGTCTGCTCATGTGTGTGTGCTGCGCTCGTAAGTTGCGTGGTACGTGGTTGTGTGGTGTGTCTTGTACGTGCTGCATGGAGTTTGGTGTGGTGTAGTGTGTTGCTGTGGTGCGCTATGTTGGCATTCTACTGCGTTGTGTTTCTGTGCGCTGCTCGTTGTGTTGCAAGGAGTGTGCGTGGCTTGTTGCGGTTCGGTGTGTGTGCGTGCTAGTTGCGAGGAGGCTATTGCGAGTGGTGTGTTGTTTGTGGTGCGCAAGTTGTGATAGTGTGTTGCTATTTTTTTTGCTCGTGATTTTGTGCGATGGCGGGCGATGATAACACACCTCTTCCTCCTCATCCTAAGTACAAACCTTTCATCGATTTTTTACCTTCATTTGAGTGAGGGTTCACAATAGGTGATTTGTCCCGTGTTGCTTTTCGTCGACAACTATGAAGAGTGGTCGAAGTCTATTCGCAACAACCTTTGATCCAAGAGCAAGCTCGGGTTTGTTGATGGTTCCCTTTTTCAACCTAATCCCAAGCATCCGGATTATCGTTAGTGGGGTATTGTTAATTCTACTGTTGCTTCTTGGATTTACAATACTCTTGATGTTAGTATTCGTTCTATTGTTATTATTCCTTATGATGCTAAAACTTTATGGGATGATTTACGCTATAACAAAGTGGTTATTTCAGATGCAAGTTTGTTACGGCATAGGCTTCTCGGGCATCCGTCAATGCAAGTTGTGAGCTCTCTTCCGGGAGTTTCTAGTAGTCGTAATACTCATAGTAGTAATTCTGTTTGTTCATTTGATTGTGACATTTGTTTTATGGGGAAGCAACCTCGAAACTCTTTTCTGTTAAGTATGAATAAAGCATCTGGAATTTTTGATTTAGTTCATTGTGATATTTGGGGTCCGAATAAGACTGTTTCTAGTTGTGATGCTCGTTATTTCCTAACCATTGTTGATGATTTTTCTCGTGCTACTTGGGTATTTTTGATGGTTGGTAAATATCAGGCTTCTCAATTGGTTCATGAGTTCTGTGCTATGGCTAAGACTCAATTTTGCAAGAAAGTGAAAGTGGTTCGAAGCAATAATGGCAAAGAATTTCTGAGTTTGGGGTCGTTCTTTACAGAAAAGGGTATTCTGCATCTGTAGACACCCAAATGTATCTCCCTAAAACCAAACCCAGTAATGAATACCTTTCACGTCATTTGATTATCGAATAAAGCGAAAGTGTGAAAAGTCTAGTGATGAGGATGTTTTTATTAAAATATCTCTTCTTTCTGCTTTGAAAATATTTCTTTTCTTACCTTATTTATGATAAACGTGCATTCTAGTTTAGTTCGGTCCATGACAAGGGTCCAATAATAGCGTATTTTGATGGAGCTTGAAAATACCTTTCCAACGATATATTATAAGCCCAATTCCGATGAATAATGAGGAAGTTATGACCAAAATACTAAAATGGGCCCGATTTGGT